TCTGGTGAATTCTCTCACCCTCCCGCGCTCCTGACTGTACCCAGTGCTTGTGTAAATAATAAATAAATAAATCTTTAAAAAAAAATAAATCACCAAGACGAGTATGGCCTTCATCGTTGGCATAAAAGTCAGACATAGGAACATGCTGGAGTTCAAATCATTTCATCAATTTCTCCTTATGGAAATATGCTGACAGCTGATTAAAATCCTGATGTATCTTCATGGTAGTAATAGGGATCAGGACTATTATTTAACATTTCCAAAAGAAATCTTCACAGGCATATGATGAAAGAACAGGTGACTTTCCAAAAACAGAGCATAGAGTTGTGTGTGTGCACATTAGCTAAGTAATGAGCCTCTGTGTTGACCACCAACAATGGGATTCAGGAATCAGAAGAACAAGAATGCTTCTTAAATGCCTGCAACTTGATTTTGACCAAAGAGCATACACTGGTAGCTGAACTAAGTATGTTTTAATAAAGCTGATTTTTTAAAAAAATTACTTATTTATGCATATAAGATCAGAGGTTGAAGCCGAGGTTGGGTTGGGGCGGTGGTGAGAAGATTCACCAGAGACAGAGTAGGGAGAAGAACAGGCAGACCTGCTGAAATGCACTGTGAAGGGGAGCAGCGGACCAGACAGGAGAGTTCTGCTGCACCATGTGGGTCCGCTCCTTGCCTGGGGATCGAACTCATGCTATTGTGTCTAGCGACAGCTTGATACCACTAAGACTTTGACCCTTCTGCCACCAGGGAGGCCCATAAACCCGACTGATTTTTATGTGTATATCCTCAGGTATATTTGATAACTTTATTTGTAATTTTTTTTTTTGCATAGAAGAACAAGAATGTAGGCCAGTGGTGTCGTTGGTGAGAGGATTCATCAGCGACAGAGTTAGGAGCTGAACAGGCAGACTAAATGAAATACACTGCGAAGAGGAGCAGCGGGCATGAAAGGAGAGGTCTGTTGTGCCATGTGGGTAAGCTCCCTGGCCTGGATCAAACTCAGGCCTTAGCAGTAATAAGGGTGAGACTTAATTTCTAGGCTACCAGGGAGACCCTGATTACATTATCCTTCATCAACATTAACCAATTCCTCCTTGTTCAAGGATTTGGTAAACTATAGGAACAATAAACTGGTTGTCAACACAGTGTCAGGCTCCATTCACACAGGCCTCAAATCTCAAATAGTTTTGATTGTATTTTGCAACAACTACACTTCTGTTTGTTTAGTAACAGTGGACGTTGTAATGTGTATATTGATAATTATGTAGAAGTATTGTCAAGAACTTTCGTCCAACACTCCATGGTACCCTCATAGAGGATCTGCTACATTGCCTCAATCACACCCTGAAGAATCACAAGTACATATAATTTCTTTACATGAGCTCATTTGCACATATTGGCAATGGTAGTCCCTCACAGGCCCTCCCCATGATTGGCCCTGGACCTCCACAGAGTGGGCAATAGTCTTACTGTTTTAGGTTTACCTCAAATAATATAATCTCAGTTCAGAAAAGTTGAAGCACTCCAGTTAGGTAGCCTAATACATTCACATGCCCCATTTCCTGCAACTCTCTCCTTCTGAACTCTGACGCACACACATAGCTGCACAAGGTGTGAGTGGACATTTATCAGTATCTCTGTGTCATAAATTCCTCTATTTCCATTCCTTGTCTGGTCTTCTGTTGAACTGTGACTCTTAACAATTTCTACTTTAACTAGTCACATGTACAATGAGAAGCAATGCCACGGCAATTCTCAATCAGGACCTATAAAATCGTACCCTATTTAACAGTCCATTTTCATGGCCTATACAACGAACACTCTCATGGCTGTGATACATGTTGAACGCTACATGTAAATATATTAGGAGGCATTATTTAGGAATGACAGAATGTGTGGGAAGAGAGTGTGTGTCTCTGGGCCTGATGTCCGTCACAGGCAGGCAGTGCTGGTAGTGGGTCACGCAGCAGTTGCTTAGTTTTTGGTCAGGATGCAGTAACTCTTAAAATCTGTCTGGTAGGATGGAAAATGTTGTTAAAAGCCCATTTAGCGAGAAATGAGGAGACTGCGAGCCCCTCAAACTCAGACCTTTTAAGATACAGGTGGAAGGACCCTGGCTCAGCCTGGAGGCCTCCAGCAGCTCTAAGCCCTCACACTGTAAGATGTTAAAGGACTAAACATAGCAAGACAGCAGCCATTTTAAGGAAAACGACCGTTTTAAAGAGCACAGCTGTCCGTTGCAGGGTAAAACCACAAGAACCACAAGGCCAGGGTGAACGAAACTTAAAGGCTGCCAAAGAAAGGTACACAATCAGATTGAACTTGGTCCCCGTTGTGAAAGGTCCCCTTTTTCTGATATGAAAGGTCCCCTTTTTCCTGCTGTAACAGAATATAAAAAACAACTTGTCACCCTTAAAGGGGTCCTTCTCTCAACCTGATGAGACTGCTGCGTCAGTACACCAGGCAGAGTCGGGCCCTAGCTTAAGCTAGCAATAAAGCCTTTTTGCTTTTGCATCTCTGGCTCCGTGTAGTTTTTGGGAACCCCGGACGGAGTTGAGGCGCCAACTCCTAACAACACGGTGCATGGAGAGAAGGGGGTCTGAGGGTACAGAGTCCCATCTGGGAGCCTCCAAAGCTGGTCTCTCACTGGCGCCCAGAAAGGCAAAGCTACGACACAAGAAAGGCCGTCACATGGGTTTATTCAAGATGCTGTCCAGGGAGTGTGCCCTAAACACCCTCCTGGGGGTGCAGCTCCCCAAGCGCAGGGAGAGAGCAGAGTAAGAGGAACCCACTTCTCTGGCATCAAAACACTCTCCTCCTTTTCCTCGCCAAACAGACTCGGTTCCGGCGCACCGGGCGGGCGGTCTGCGAGGCCGCGCCCACGTGGCCACCACCCAATATGTCCCTGAGCCCCACTGGGGGAGGACGCGCCCTGACGCTCCCGGACGCGCGGCGCGCGGGATTGTGGGAAATGTAGTCTCCCGAGGACACGCGGCTCCCGCCCAGGGCTCCGCCCAGGGGCGTCCTGCCTCGCCGGCCTCGTCTGCGCAGGCGCGGCCCCGCGTCCTCCCCGTCTTTCCGGGGCCCGGGGCCTCCGCGGTCGCTGCCCCCCCCCCCCGGGTTGCGAGCGGCCTTGTCGCCGAGGCTGGGCTTGGGGTGAGGCTGAGGACCCGCGTGCGGGAGCGGGGGGCGGGCGCGGCGGGGAGGCGCCGGGGAGGCCTGAGGCGGGTGAGGGGGGCCCGTGGCCCGGAACAGGCGCCGGAGGGTCCGCCGGGGCGAGGCTGGGGGCGAGGGGAGCGGGGTCCCCGCCCTGGACACGGGCGAGCCCCCCGACGGCCGCCCCTCCGCGTTTCCGGGAGTTCGTGCGCTGTGACGCTCTGGGACGGCTGTCGTGGGCTGCGGAACCCCCGCCACGAGCGCCCGCCCCGGGTGTGGCTTCCGCGGGTCCCCGGGCGTTTTCTCCCGGAGACCCGCGCTCACCCCGCAGCGCGCGCCGTTTCCCTCCGGACGCGGACGGGGCTGCGTTCCGGGGTCTCGCGTCCCTCGCGGCGTGACCAGAGGACACGCGGGCTGCGGGGGTCCCGGCCCTGAGCGGCCCGGCGGGTAAGAGTTTCCCGTCCTTTGTGCCCGTTTATCGTGGCCGCCGCCCCGCCGCGTGCCTGGCCGGTACCCCGGGTCTCCCCAGGAGGACGGTGTCCCGGAGGCCGGACCCCTGGGAAAGTGCTTTTCCTCCTGTGCGTGTGCGCCCTCTTTCCCTGGGGGGACACCCCAGGCACATCCAGGGCATGGGCACCGGGGTGCACGAGGACAGGAAGCCGGGCTCTCGGAACCATTCCTGGGAGTGTCCGTCCTGCCAAAGAAGTGCATAAGGTGCATCATTTCCTTTGAAATTGTGTCCAATTTTTTTAATTCATTTTTTAAATTTTTTTTAAAGATTTATTTATTTATTTGTTTGTTTATACATACAAGCACTGGGTACAGTCAGAAGCGCGGGAGGGTGAGAGGATTCACCAGAGCCAGAGCAGGGAACAGAACAGGCAGACTGACGAAGTACACTGCTGAGGGGAGCAGCGGGCGGCAGGAGAGGTCTGCGCGCCATGTGGGACCCTCCTCCGGTGGCCGGGGAGCAGCCGGGGATCGAACCGGCACTGCAGAGGCTGCGGGCAGCTTCGCAACCCAGCGCTCAACCGCTGCACCACCGGGGAGGCCCTTAAGTGATTTTTTTTAAAGATTTATTTATTCATGCGTACAAGAACCTGGGTACAGGCCAGATGCACGGAAGGGTGAGAGGATCCACCAGAGACAGAGCGGGGAGCAGAACAGGCAGACTGACTGAAATACACTGCAGAGGGCAGCAGTGGGCGAGACAGGCGATTTCTGCTGCGCGATGTGGGATTCTCCCGAGTTGGCCGTTGGGGATCAAACCCGTGCTGCAACGTTTCACAGCGCTGGGCTCCGCCCCCTGGGCCACCAGGGAAAGCCCTTTTTAAGTGATTAATCATCTTTGAAACTTTTGTTTAGTTCTTCACATGGACTACTAGTCAGTCTTAGGAATCATCAGTTTTATTAACTTACGGTAAATTGTAAACCCAAATAGTATTAATAATGGACTAGTGGGTCCTTTCCTGCTCCTCCTCAGAGTGTGAGCACAGCTGTCACGCGCAGTGACTCTGGTCTCTCCCAGGCAGTGTGTGGAGCGCTCTGGACAGGAGACTCCAGGACCCGGGACCCGCTGCCTCCGTCCTCTCCTGCGGGACTCCATCACCTCTCCCAGCGCCGCCTCCAGAGTCCTCTGGCATCTTGGAGAGCAGTGGACAATGGATAAATCTCTGGTGAGTGATTTGTTTTCTTTAGCTTAGCTGGGCAGTTGGGAACAGTGCTGCTCTGCTCTTAGGTGTAGATGAATCTTGTAATGAGTTTTCACGTTGGGATAAATAACTTATAGAAGTATTGCTGATCATATGGAATTTCTATTTTTATTTCTTTAAGAAATCTCTGCACCGTTATCTGCAGGGACTGTACTGCTCTAATGGCTCAAACTCATGCTGCAGTGACTGGGAATAGCCTCCTAGCATTGTGTCTTAACCCCTTGCGCCACAAGGGAGGCCCGGATACATTATAAATTTTGGAATGAACTCCTTGTCAGATGTGTGACATGCAAATATTTTTTATATTCTATAGGGTGCCTTTCTGTTTCTATGCTGGTTTCTTTTGAGTTCCAAAAGCTTTTAGGTTTGGTGTTGTCCCACATGTTGAATTTTGCTTTTCTTTCCCTTGGTGTTGGGGTTGTGTTCCCTAATGCATTTTGTAGCAGCTGTCCTATAGTGTACCCCTTATTTGCTTTCAGTACTTCATGCTTTGGGCTCTTATGTCCAAACGTTTCAGCCATTTGGAATTAGTTTTCTGTATGGAGTTTTGAATGGGTCTTGCTTCTTAGTTTTGCAAGTCACTATACATGTTTCCTGAAACCATTTTTTAGGAAGATATATTTATGCATGGAAGAACTGGGGTGTAGACCAGATGTTCCGGGCTTGAGAGGGTCCACCAGAAAGAAAGTAAGGAGCAGAACACATAGATCCACTGCAATGCACTGCTGAGGGAAGCAGTGAGGGAGACAGGTGAGGTTTGCTGTGCCACATGTGAGTCAGCTCTCTGGCCTGGAATGGCCATGCTGTATATATAGCACTGACTCTTAACCCTTGGCCGCCAGGGGTCCCCATCCCAGTATTATTTATTAAAGAGGCTGTCTTGTCTGAATTGTATGATTTTAGCTCCTTTGTCCAAGATGAACTCTTCGTATTTCATTATTTGCTTTCTGGGTTTTTAATTGCCTTCATTGCTCTGAGTTCTGGTTTTGTTCCAGTAAAATAATGTTTTCATTACCATTGGCATTTAATATATTTTGAAGTCAGGAAGTGTGATCGTTACATTTCACTTTTTCTCTCAAGATTTTTTTTTGCTATTTGGGACCTTCTGTGGGTTCACATAAATGCAGTGATTGTTCTCTTTCCTTACAAAAAACCTCCTTGGTATGTGGATAGGTATTAGCTCTGTAAATAGCTCTGGACAATAAACCATTTATGATGTTAATTCTTCCCACCTAGGAGCACAGGACATCTTTCTATTTCTTCTTATCTTTTGTTTCCTTTACTAGAGTTTTATAATTTTCAGTGTTCAGGTCCTTCACCTCCTTTAACTTTTTTTTTAAGATTTATTTATTTATGTATACAAGAGCTGGGCTGCAGGCCAGAGGTATGGCAGAAGGGGTTGTGTGAGAGGATTCACCAGAGACAGAGTAGGGAGCAGAACAGGCAGACTGACTGAAATACACTGCTGAGGGGAGCAGCGGGCGAGACAGGAGAGGTCTGCTGCGCCATTTGGGTCACCTCCCTGGCCGGGGATCGAACTCATGCTGCAGTGGCTGCAGATAGCTTCATAGTGCTGCCTCTTAACCCCTTGTGCCACTAGAGAGGCCCCTCCTTCTTTAACTTGAATGAAATAATCACAGCTATTTCATTCTTTTTGGTGTGAATATCAATGGAAATGCCAGTCTTTTCACACACATTCTCTTCATAACTTGTTTATACTTTCAGAGAAATAAACAAATTTTATCATGTATTCAATTGTAAAAAGTGATAACATAGTTCAACATATATAATGGACACCAAGGGTTCAAATATGATTGTTTTCTTGTTGTTCTGCTTAGTATTTGATCATTATTTACAATTTCCTTCCAGTCTTTCAGGTCAGTCTACTATGAATTTTCCAATTGTCCTGCCTCCCTGCTGTACAAATGTGTGCCCTGGGTCAGATTTGACATCACTGAAATTATAGCGTCCACGGTGGTTCTGTGGGCATATGTGATCTTCTGGGCTCAGTGGGTGCATTAGACTGTTACTGTGTAAACATGGGTCTCATAAGGGCATTCTTCTCTCTTAGAACCAGGTCTCCCTTTTTTTAAGATTTATTTTACTTATTTATATGTAAACCAGAGGTCAGGGCATTGGGTGGGGGATGAGATGATTCACCAGAGACAGAGTGGGGAGCAGAACAGGCAGATCTATTGAAATACACTGCTGAGGGGAGCAGCAGGGAGACAGGAGAGGTCTGCTGCGCCATGTGAGTCAGATCCCTGGTCAGGGATCCAACTCATCCTTCGGTAGTTGTCGTAGCTTCATAGTGCTGAGACTGAACCCTTTGTGCCACCATGAGGATACTCTCAAAACTCTCTTTTCACCTCATACCCTATTCAGAGCTCTGCTGTTGGCCACATGGTAACTGTATATTTTGATTTCAGGAACCCTTGACCTTCAGAGATGTGGCCGTAGAATTCTCGCAGGAGGAGCAGGACTACCTGGACCCGGAACAGTGGGAATTTTACCATGATGTTAGAGGCCTACAGGAACCTGGCGTCCTTGGGTGAGGAGAATATCCCTCCAGATTTCCTCATCTGCCCTCACCGTTTCCTGTGCTATGTGTGTGTGCTCCTGGGATGTCCAGATTTGTAGGCTACGTTTACATCCCTGATTTTCAGAAAAACAGTGTGAGTTTGTTGGAAAAAGAAAGTCTCATGCTGTTTGATCATGACTTAAACTTCTCTCTTAGGTGATCTGCAGCCTGCTCTATTAGTGCTCATTCAAGAAAATCAGTTCCTTATTACAAGCTAAAATCAGTGTGTTATTGCACATTCCTATGACTCAGATGTCTGGAAATGGTTCTCAGGATTGAAAATTTATTTCTTTAAAGATTTATTTATTTATGCATACAAGAGCTGGGGTTCAGGCCAGAAGTGTGAGGGGTGAAATGACTCACCAGAGACAGAGCCAGGAACAGAACAAGCAGATCAACCGAAGCACACTGCTGAGGGGAGCAGCGGTCGAGTCAGGAGACGTCCACCTCGCCATGTAGGCCACTCCCTGGCCGGCCAGGGATTGAACTCTCGCTACAGAGGCCACGGACAGCTTCACAGGATGCTCCTTAACCCCTTGCACCTCCAGGGAGGCCCCAGGATATGAAAATTTAAATGATTTCTGGTAAGATGGTGTCAGAAAAAGTATTTGCAGTGATCCTTTTCTAGAACCTTCTGTATTCTCCTCTCTACTGAGCACAATCCTGTATTGGTAATTTGAAAATCTGCAGGCCATCTCATATCACCTGTCCTAATAAACAGGTCTTGCTATGTCTAAGCCTGACCTGGTCGTCTTGTTGGAGCAAAAGGTGGAGCCCTGGGATGTGAAGAGAAGTGCAAATCCCGTCCTCCTCCCAGGTAGGTGGAATGAATCTGGCAGAGGCCGCAGCTGGCAGGTGCAGTGGTACAGGAAAGCATCCTAAATATGTCTAGGAAGCTCTGTTTCAGGGTTGCAGACATGCTCCTATTTTGTCCTGGAGTCTTAGTCTTACTTTCCCTGGGGGCGTCTCCTCTCGGACACCGAGTCCTCTGCCTTTCCTTCTTACTGAATTGAACTTAGGTTTTGTCCATTTTGTTGATCTTTCAAAATCCAGACTTCCTTTCATGGAGAAGCACCTGCTTTTTGGCCATGATGTTACATCTATGTATTTTTTATTTCATTTTAAATGTCCTCCTTTCTGCCAATATGGAGCTTAAATTATTCTTTTTCTAATTCCTGGAGGTGTGAAGTTATGTTGCTCAGGTGAGATCCCTCTTATTGATAGTGTAATTGTTTAATGCTTTAAATTTACTTCTTAGTGTTATTTTCTGAATCCCACATGTTTTGGAAGTTTGCTTCCTTTCAGTGTCTCAGTATTTCTTAGTTATTTAGAATCTAGGAAACACGAGTTTACCTTGCTCTATGTGATTCGAGAATAGATTCTCATCACCTCAAATGTTTGTCACCACCACACCCACCACCAGTGCACTTATGGGCCTCACCGTAGATCTTTGAATCCACTCCCACTTTTGTACCCACAGCCAGTGTCCCTACCTCTTCAGTACCCTCACTTCTGCAGTCTTAATTCTCGAGTTCATTTTGGTTTGTATTGTCAGTTTCTTTGCTTTGTTTCTCCATATTCCAAACAGGAGTGAATTCATCCAGTAAGTCTTTCCCCTTCTGATTCATTTCACTGAGCATCATCCTCCCCAATATTCCATCCTTGTCGTTGCAAATGGCCAGATGTATCCTTTTTCAGTAGTATTCCACCCTGTGTATATACCACACCTTTCTTTAGAATTATTTTTCACCCTGTTTGTCAACTCCGGTTCCTGAATTTATACCATTATTTTCCTTCCAGTTGCAATTGGGGCTTGAACCCCTCCTTGATCTTATGTTTTCCTCTTCTGCATTCAGTTCTGTCTTTGTGTACTGCACACATTCAGGTCCTCATGTTAGTGCATGTGTTATATTACAGTGCTTCCCAATACATGTAGTTTTCTGTTATGTTCTTGGGGCATTCTTTTCATCCTGTGAGGCTTTAAACTCAGATCATATAATTCTGATATTAGTGTGATCAACGTGACTCCATGGATCAGTTTTCATAGAATCTAGTTCCAACCTTACGTTCTACATGGTGTGCTGATGTCTGTGTTGAGTTTCATATAGGTAAGATTGAATTGGTCTTATTTTTAATTCCTTCAGACATATTTGTCATTTTCATGTGGACTTTTAATTAATTTACACACAAAGTATTTCTGAAAGGAAGGCATTAACTTTATTAAAAAATGATTCCTGTATTCTCAGCTATTTTATACCTCATTTCCTCCCTAGTACAGCTCTGTATTATTCCTCTCTTCCTTTCTTGTGGGTGATTTCCCTCCAGTTGCTCTCATTTTATATGCTAATTGAGGTATACTGGTTTGTAATCCTATTTACAAACATTGTAAAGCATTGTCACCCAACCTGTTACATATGACATCATTCTCTGTTTTCATTTCCTTTTCCATGTATTTTACTGGTATCTTTTTTGTCACATGGGGATTATATACCATGTTGAAAAGTTATTCAGCCTTATCTAAACTGAAAACAATTACATTCAACTGCATACCAAAACCCAACTGTTTAACATTTCTAAGTTCTCAAGCAGAAACAGTATTTTTGCTATAGGATTATATCATACCTTTTTCTCTGTTTGCTATGTATTTACCTTTCCCTGAGGACATCACCTTTTATAAGCATGTGTGTTGCTGTCTAGTGCTCATGTTACCTGTCTAACATCAGGCCGGGGGTCTTTATTTGGTATTAATTTTGTGTATAAAATAGTTAAAATATTTTATTTTGTCTTGAGTGCTGTGAGTGCGGTAATTATTCCTTGCTGTCTCCCAGCCATGTCTTCTCAAGACGACCAGGACTGCATACCACAGTCAGGCACAGAAGATTTATTCCTAAATGTGGGACCGGGAGGAGATGGAATCGACACCTTTGAGAATTTAGAATTATTGAAAGATCAGACATGTCAAGAGGCATGTGAAGGGCACAACAGTTGTTGCGATGAAGATGGCCGAGCAGCGACAATTATCCATAGTAAAATTTCTCCTGCAAAAACTGATCCAGTGTGTAAACCATGTTGGGTAAAACTCCATTTTATGTGTGTTGCATGTATAGATAAATATGTTTCTGTTAGCAAAGATCCATGTGGCATTTTTACCAATACACATTCTCAGAGAGGAATATTGGAACATATGGGAAGTCCCCTAGTCCATAATGGAAATGATTATTCAAAACATTGTCACCATGGGGTAGGTTTAAACTTTGTGTCAAATCATTCTCAACATCAGAGAATTAGAAAGGAAGATGAAAAATCTACACAGGATCCTATTGAGGAGTCCTCAAACCTTCTCCAATATCAGACAATTGGTGAGAAACCTTACAATTGTAAAGATTATGGCAAAGATAACACATGCTGCTCCAGCCTTAATGAACATCAGAGAAAGAAACGGCGTAAATGTGGAGAGCATGGTAAAGGCTTTTATTGGCAATCACAGTTGACTCGACCTCTAAGAAGTCATACTAGAGAAAAGCATTACATGTGTCCAGACTGTGGTAAAGCCTTTCTATATTTGTGTCGCCTTTCCCAACATCAGAGAGTTCATAATGGTGAGAAACTTACAAATGTGAAGAATGTAAGAAAGCTTTAAGGTGAAGTCAAGTCTTAGTCAGCATCAGAGAATTCATACTGGCCTGAAACCTTACAAATGTGAAGAATGTGGCAAAGCCTTTAACTGGGTGTCAAATCTTTCTAAACATTACAAACTTCATACTGGGAAAAGCCTTACAAATGTAATGAATGTGGAAAAGCCTTTATTAATAATTCAAAACTTATTCAACATCATAGAATTCATACTGGGCAGAACCTTACAAATGTAAAGTATGTGGCAAAGTCTTTAACCAGAAGTCACATCTTAATCGACATCACAGAATTCATACTGTAGAGAAACCTTAGAACTGTTAAGAATGTGGCAGAGTCTTTAAAAAAACAGTCATATCTTAGTCAACATCATAGAATTCACACTGGGAAGAAACTGCAAATGTGAAGACTGTGGCAAAGCCTTTAACTGGAAGTCAAGTCTTATTCTACATCACAAAATTCACATTAGAGAAATGTTAAAATTCAAAGGTCATTTTTTTTTACTGTAGTCTCTTTAACCAGAAGTCCAGAAGTTTCACCAGAAGTGGCAGTGATTATCCAGAAGTCAAATCATCCTAAACATCAGAGTGCCTAGTGAGAGAACCCGTAAATGAAAGTGACCAATGGATTGTCCAAATATATTTATGAAACCACCAGATTTTCATACTGGAAACTTTAAAGAAGCAAAAATAGGAGAAAGTAATTTATAATGAAATTAGATGCATATTGAGACATTGCAGTGCAGTAGTAAGTTAATTCCACTTGGCCAGACATAACCTAAAATGAGAATATGGTCATGGAGCATAAACCAAGATTAAACACTAAATATTAGCATAATTTAAAAGTTCAGGAGGCCTCCCTGGTGGTGCAAGGGGTTAAGTTGCAGCTTTGTGAAGCTGTTGGCAGCCACTGCAGCACAAGTTTGATCCCTGTCCAGGGAGCTGACCGACATGGAGCAGCAGACCTCTCCTGTCTTGCCTGCTGCTCCCTCAGCAGTGTATTTCAGTGGATCTGCCTGTTCTGTTCCCCACTCTGTCTCTGGTGAATCCTCTCACCCCCTCACCTCTGGCTTATACCCCAGTTCTTGTATGCATAAAAATACATCTTTAAAAACATAAATAAAACTTGAAGACAATGGTTTGGGTCATGTATAGTTATTTTCTATGTCCTTTTTATCAGCCATACTTGAGATATGAATAGACATGATGAATGTAATTCACACCTAAATTACTTCATTCTATGACTTTCTCATGTACGTCACATCATGTGTTTGATTGTTGCTGCTCAAACATCTAAGGGATCCTTCTCTAATGGATGGATTTGCTCACATCTGACTTGCTCCTGCAAATTTAAGGTGGTGTCATATATCATGTATGAAGAAAATGTGAATGGATATGCTGTTTGGTTGACTCAAAAGATTGATCTAAATCACCCAATGGCATAGAAATTAGACAGAGAACATGCTGAAGTTCAAATCGTTTCATCCTTTTGTCCTTAGGGAATACATTGACAGTTTATTAAGTCCTGATGTCTCTTCAGAGTAGTAATAGAGATCATGAATATTATTTGATGTTGTTGCCAAAAGAAATCTTCACAGGCACATGATGAAAGAGCAGGTGACTTTCACAAAAGGGCATGGAATTCTCATCCATTCACATTAGCTAATAAAGAGGCTCTGTGTTTGACACTACGGGATTCTGGTATCAGAAGGTCGAATGCTTCTTACATACCTGAATCCTGACTTTTATGAAATAGCATACAGTGCTATCTAAATGTCTTATTTAGACTATATGTGAACTTTATATATATATATATATATTTTAATAATGCTCATTGATTTTTTTTAAAGAAGCATGTATTTTTATTTATTTGTTTTTGTTTGTTTATACATGCACTGGGTACAGTCAGAAGCGCGGGAGGGTGAGAGAATTCACCAGAGCCAGAGCGGGGAGCAGAGCAGGCAGAAGGACCGAGGTACACTGATGAGGGGAGCAGCGAGCGCAGGAGAGGTCTGCGCGCCATGTGGGACCCTCCTCCGGTGGCCGGGGAGCAGCTGGGGATCGAACTGGGACCGCAGAGGCCGCGGGCAGCTTCGCAACCCAGCGCTCAACGCTGCGCCACCAGGGAGGCCCATGCTTTTATTGATTTTTAATGTAGTCATCTGGACATGTACTTAATCATAAGTTGTCCCCATCAGCATTAACCAATTCCTCCATTTTAAGGCTTTCTGTAACAGATGAGAACAATCAGGTGGTTTGTCTACACAATGTTACATCACAGCAGGCGCTGTTCTCGATAGCTTATATCTGAAATAGTTTGACTGTTTTCATAACTACACACTTTTTGTTCTCTTAGTAGCCCGGAATATTGAGTGCTTTCAAAATAATGCCGAG